AGTAAACCCACTATAGGGGTAATGCTTAGTAAACCCACTATTGGGGTAATGCTTAGTGAACCCACTATAGGGGTAATGCTTAGTGAAACCCACTATAGGGGTAATGCTTAGTAAACCCACTATAGGGGTAATGCTTAGTAAACCCACTATAGGGGTAATGCTTAGTAAACCCACTATAGGGGTAATGCTTAGTAAACCCACTATAGGGGTAATGCTTAGTAAACCCACTATAGGGGTAATGCTTAGTAAACCTACTATAGGGACCTACTAAAACATTCACTTTTTGGACTTTTCATGCATCTCAATTGTAGCTGCTCTTACAAATAAAATATTTATTTTAATCTTGATAGTTTAGTATTCAATGTGGAATGTGAGTAATTTATAGAAAAGATTCTAGTGATATATGAGTATGTGGTACATCTATTTACAGACCCAATGATGGTTTCATGCACCAGCTAAGAATATACGATGCCATGGGAGGTGATATCCAACCCGAGAATCTGCTCTATAAACAGTATCTTCTAGACTTTAGGTCAGAGGTTAGAGGTATGATACTACATTGCCTGTCAGTGATTAGAGATTGCATTATGGGAGATAATGACATATATGGTATCCGGTTTGACTGTGGTCGGAAAAGTTATTGGAATTATGTGATACATAGAGAATATTTTTAGAGTTAATAACTATTAGGTGACTGAATCATCTATGGATACAGGATATTATGTATGAAACTAAAAACAATCAATCAATCAATTAAACTTTGAACTAAATTTTGAACAGCAGATTTATTTTTCCTGATTTATGGTAATAGGTGACAGCTGTGTGTGAGTTGAGCAGACAATCCAAGTTTTTGTTGTTACTCTGTCTGTGTGTATATATGTATGTATGTACCGGTATGTTTGTTTGTTCCACTGATATCTCAAGAACCACTCATCAAATTTCAATGGAACTTAGTGCATACGAGGATTAATTTACAAACCTGATTAGTTTAGGATTGAAATCCATGCATATTAATGTTCTAATTTACATAAATTGAGCTATATTAGGCAACAGGCTTCTTGTTTAAAACCCTATATAAAAGTAATTTTAAATATTACCTAATTTATTCATTTACCTCTAATACACTTAGAACTTTAAAGTTTTTTCTAAGCTATCTTAAGTTTGTTTTTTTAATTGTTTCCAAAGTTTTGAGAATTCAAGTTTATGTATCCATTTGATCGTTTTTGAGCTGAAACTACCATTGATATTATTTATTAGCAATGCTTCTTACAGGATCACTGTTACTTTCACACATGCTGTTTTTACATATTTTCTTTGTTGAAAACAGAGGCTAGTGGAATATTTATTAAAATGCAATGTTTTTAGGATAATTTTAAGAATTATGGAAGATATGCAGAACAAATATATATTAGTAGCACATGCTATTACTAAGGTGTGTCTATGGTCAAAATAATATAATGGATTTAGTATACATGTTGGTTTATATGTGTTTCTATTTAAAATGTACCCCAGACCATTTGTCTACATCAGACCATTTGTCTACATCAGACCATTTGTCTACATAAGACCATTTGTCTACATCAGACCATTCGTCTACATCAGACCATTTGTTTACATCAGACCATTCGTCTACATCAGACCATTCGTCTACATCAGACCATTCGTCTACATCAGACGATTCGTCCTACATCAGACCATTCGTCTACATCAGACCATTCGTCTACATCAGACCATTCGTCTACATCAGACCATTTGTCTACATCAGACCATTTGTCTATATCAGACCATTCGTCTACATCAGACCATTCGTCTACATCAGATCATTCGTCTACATCAGACCATTTGTCTATATCAGACCATTCGTCTACATCAGATCATTCGTCTACATCAGATCATTCGTCTACATCAGACCATTTGTCTACACCAGACCATTCGTCTATATCAGACCATTCGTCTATATCAGACCATTCGTCTATATCAGACCATTCGTCTACATCAGACCATTCGTCTACATCAGACCAATCGTCTACATCAGACCATTCGTCTACATCAGACCATTCGTCTACATCAGACCATTCGTCTACATCAGACCATTCGTCTACATCAGATCATTCGTCTACATCAGACCATTCGTCTACATGTTATCGCTAGCACCAACCTAAGACTTCAGATTGATACATATATAAAGCTAGTGCTTTAAATTGTTGGTGATTTTGTTTAAAGAAACTGAAAAAATGCTGCAAAAAAAATACATGCACATTTTGACTGGAACAATTTTTCTTTCAATGTTGCATACATTTTCTTCAGTATTCAAATAAACAGTTTAAGCTCACAGTATAGAATTAATTGTCATGGTAAGAACTGATGTCAGAGACTGTTATTCTAATTCACTTAAAATCAAGATTAAATACAAATCAAAATTCTGAAAAAAATGCATCCTGAGTGTCTAGTCTCTGATTAATAGATAAAAAAAAATTAAATAAATATGAGACCTTCATTACTGAATACCATATGGTGACCTGGTTCATTTACCATATTACACTCACAGGATCACTAAAAATAATGTTGGATATAATTAACAGTATCACAGACATCACTGGTTGAGGTTAATTTTTATAAACCCTGATTTACTTCTATAACCATACATGTTGATGGCTGGCTATAGCAATTACCCGTTATGTAATAGTTAGGTTTTAACTTAACACATTGCCTGTTGATGGTTTTTTCCAGTCATTTCAGCTTTCTTTGAAGGCTTCCAGCAAGTCATGTGATAAGTCTTGCTAGTCAATACTTGCAGGGAATTTTAAGTATGAAATGTACCGGGGTAATAAATGCAATCCTCAATCCTGGACTGGTAGCGTTGATTTCCTGCATTGCATGCTGGTAGAAACCACTCAGTTATTGCAAATTAAATTTATAATTTTTATTTTGATGTCAGCAATACTGTAATGATGCTTAAGAGACTCATTTTCATGAAATTCGCGAGTCAGGGAAATCACGAAAATTGAAGCAGTGAATAAATGAAAGTGAGTTTCATGAAATTATTGTCTTTGCAAACATTTCAAATTATTTTTAATTAAGTCATCTTATTTTATTTTATCCAATATCTTCTGTATCAATATTTGAGCTTGTTTATGGAGGAGTAGTAGATTGCTTTTAGGCTCCGCTGTCGATTCTGTCAAATGGAGCTTATCATATGAGTGGTTGTCTGTCGGTGTCCGTCGTCCGTATCAATGTTTTACTTTTTCAACTTCTTCTTGAAAACTACAAGCCTGAATGCTTTGATACTTGGTGTATATGTACCTTAGGTGGCCTCTCTCAGATTTGTTCATTTCATGATGCTATCTGTAATTCTCTAATTTTGATGAATATTTTTGTAATTTTTGGTAAAAAGTGATATTTTTGACTTCTTGTTGAAAACTGCAAGTCAAATTGCTTTGATATTACATATATAGGTACTACATGTGGACCTCTTTAAGATTTGTTCATTTCATGATGATACCTTCAATTCTCTAATTTTAGTGAATATTTTTGTAATTTTTGGTAGAAAGTGATATTTTCGACTTTTTGTTGTATGAGTGTAGAGCGTAGTAAATTTTAAATTTGTTAATAGGTTAATTTTAATTTCTAATTAAATTTAAATATTTCCTTTTCAACTCCTTGAATATTCTCAGCATAATATTTTCTTTGACTTTTTTCTTTAATTAACAGAACCAGTGGTGTATGTCACTTTCAAAGTCAACTATTGTCTGAAGCAGACTGACGGTCTGAAACACTTAGTAGCTGTAACTGGTGATCACCGTCTCTTGGGGCGTTGGAAGAAGCACAGGGTATTGAAGAATAAATGGGGGCCTGATTCGTGGGAGATCACATTGGCTTTCTCACAAAACACAACACTAAATTGGAAGTTTGTTGTTGTGGAATATCAGAAGGCATCCAGTAGACAGTATGGTCCCAAGTCAACGTATGGATGTGGTAAAGTACTGAGATGGGAAGATGGCAATAATAGGGTGCTTAACACAGGTACAGAGGAATGGACCTTGATTGAAGGAGAATGGGGAAAGTGCTGATGAAATACAAGGACATAATTATTACAGTATTGATAACACTATAGCCGCTGGGGATCCTTGGTACTTCATAGCTTTTTATATTTATTTTTTCCTCCAATATCTTGCCTATGAACTGCAAACATCTGCTGTATAACTTTTTACTTATATACCCATGACACTTCTCCAGAAATTGAACTGTCTAAATCAGCAAATAAAACAGGATGTTACTATCAAATGATGTGTAAACTGTACCATTACCAACCCACAATGACAGCTTACTCTACTGTGTCAATATCTTTAGAAAGGGCTGCAAATTGATTTTGTTCTGGAATCTTTTTGAATAGATGTGAAGGATGGTCTTGTGCCTTTGGAGGGGTTTCTATGGATATAACATCCCGGGTTGTACATTGACAAAGTAGTTTGAAAAGGACAATAATTATGTATTTCATAGTCCTTGTATCTGATTGAAAGTGATTTAAACTGTACTTGAAATCAAAGAAAAATTATGGCCATTACCTAATTGTTTTCGAAACCCATGGACCCTGGATGGAATGTGGTGGTATGTATGTAGGTATAGGTCTGTATAGGTCTGTAGGCCTTGCTTTGTAACAGCTGAGATATGGGCACTCATAAGTTGTCCAAATAAATGCAGTCTGTACACATGTGTTTGCATATTTGTTATATGATTGCACATTACAGCATTACAGGAAACTATACAAGCAGTGTTGACAATATTTAATGCAATAAAAATATTATTTGAGCCATGGCTATATTTTGGATTTTGTAGTTCGTTCAAAACATTTTTTTTTATTTATTTCTGTAGGTATATTTTTAAGCACTAGTGTGAATAGAATAGGATTGATTGTTTTCATCAAATTCAACTTGAATGATAATAAAGTGAAATTATAATTTCCTAGAATTAACTAATTAATTGTTGAACTTGACATGTAAATATCGATTTGTAATGATGTGTGCACCAGTGTTCTATTTAAGACTTATTTACATGCAGCTTGCTCTGTTAAATTACTCACTTTCAAAATATAAATTTGAAGAAAGTATGTTCTTTATTCCTGAAATACTTTGGGATTAGTTTTCTTCTCACATATGTATGAAGTATTACAACTGGATTCTCTGCGAACAAAATAGAATATGCTCTCCAAGATCAATTAGTGTTACAGTAGTAAACTCAAAATAAAAAAAGTGACAAGTGTAGTCTTTTTCCTCCTAAAAATCTGACTAGTATCTGGGAACTTTTATACAGGTCATGTTATTTATTTTATAAGGAACATTAAGATTAATACAGTACATTAATTAATTGAGGAACACATTGGCGAGTATTTTTGTTTTCCAACTTTTTTTAGATACTTTGTTCTACCATTTTAGGAACTTTTATACTACAATTAATGTTATATTCTATAAGGGACATCAAGATTAATACACTACTGGTACTGTATTTGCTTTATTGTTAACGTATTCACTCAAGTACATGACAGAGGTGTGTCTAACGAAATAAGTCGTATTTTGATAATTTAGCTTAAAATTTGTATTTATATGCCTTTGTATTAAAGATGACTTTCTAAGGTTTAGTGTGAAAAGAATTATTTCCGTAAAAGATTAGAAAATAAGAGGAATCTGTTTTGAATATAACTTGCTATGGCAAAATGTTAAACAATATTTTTTTCACAATTTTATTTTTTCCCTCTCAAATAAGTTTTTAAAAAGCAACTTTGTTATTGCTGATACAAACCTGTGTTAGTGATTGTGAGTTATCAATTCATTCAAAAATAATAATCCAACATGCATATGAAGACCGTTTTAATGAAGTACAATGAGTGTTCGCAATTCACAGGTTTGTATAATTGCATCTTCTTATATTACCTGGTTCAATACTGACTGTACTTTCTTTTAAACTTGTTTCAAATCTGCTTTTTAATTTTTTTAATTTATTGTAATAGTTATTTTAATAGTAAGTGTGACTTTTATTTCTAATTTTTATAGAAAAATAGTGCATGTGTTTGGCAGACATTCTATCAAGATAATTTGATAGTTAATAATTATGTAAATAAAAATGTTACAATCCAGCTAATTCAATGTTTGTATTTTTGGTGTCCATGAAACTGCATTGCATTTGTGCCTCTAATATGACACAATGTATTTGCTGTCATCATAACTGCCTATGGCGGTGATCACCAAACAAAGGCAGGTATTTCATTTGCAAATGGCTTGCATGATTTTTGCAAATAGCTTAGAGAGTGATCATAAAATCATTGCATGCAAGACTCTTTAACCAATGATTCATTCACTCTATTTAAATCGAAATGTGCGCAATCCCACAGGATTGTTAGCGATTAACTCTAATTTTCCAGTTCCATGTCATTTTTGGTTCTTTCTGAATTTCTATAACCAACTTTTATCATTTGTTGCCACTATGCAACCTTTGAACGTGTTATACTTCCTAGGTGTCGAGTGTGCTAAAACAGGATTCAAAACTTCATGGCATGACAAACACTTGCATTGTTCACAATTTCAGGCTTGTGTTTATCGTAACTGTTGATTTGGGTTCATGTCTTAATTTAGGAAATATCTTAAAGACTTCAAATAAGTTTAGTAGATAATACAACTTTTAAAGAAGTAGTAAATTTTATGCCATATGTTCCCCTATTTCTAAAAAAAAAATATGCATGCAAAACAATATATAACTTCGATGATATTTTGTACTGTCCGTGCAACAAAGGCATTCTCTCAATCTTTATAAATTACAATGACAGTTGAATTCAACCAACCAATGAGCACAGTTTGCCAATACGTCATTTGAAAAATTGGTTTTCAATCGGCCAATAGAATCCTTTTAAAATTTATAAATATTTATAAAGATGAAGGGAATGCTTTTGTTGCATTGGGAGTATTAGGGAATGAATAAATTTACCTGGGATTAAAAAAATTGTAGACAAAATTTATTGAATGCCACATATTTGTTCCTCCCATTTTATTGCAGAAATTTTGAGAAGCACGCCCTCTTGAGTTCAGGTAACTAAATTAAGTGACTGTAGAGGGTGCTCTTTCAGTCCCCATTGAAGGTTTGGTGCGTGTGTGTGGTGTCAACGTTATGACAACTTTGATTTAACTTTACACTTACCAAGTGACAACAGACCAACCAAGTCACGACCATTTTTATAATTTTCATAATTTATATTGATATTTAATCGAATTTAAGTCAAGTTCGCATAGCTTAGGGTTAGTATAAAAGGGGAAGGTATTGTGCAATTTTGTACCTTCCCCTTTTACTAACCCTAATCTATGCAAACATTTCTATGTTAAGTCATAGCATATTCAACTTTTGTTTAATTAAGCAGTTAACTTGAATTAAAACGCAACCCTATATAGTTTTAATCCAAACATAACGCAACTATATTAAAAGTTAATCAAATGTGTTGTTACTTAATATGTATATGTGTATATAAACAATGCGTTTCCCTTAATCAATGAAAGCATGATTTTTTCAGGTGTTGTACCCTGGCAATATTATATAGATATGCCACCAGTACGTCCTTGTCCCCTCCATAATTTTGCAATAAAAACACATGCAATGGAACCTTGCCAAAATAATGGAAATTGCTGTCTGCTTGGAACTGTCTGGAAAAGTACAGAATTCCTTAATCAGAAACATTGAAATACATGATGTAATAAAACAATGAAAAACCTGTTATACAACAGTCAGTAGTCCATAGCCATAGACTTGACTTTTTAATTGTCAGCCAATTGCACCAATTGGATAGCAGGATTCACAATCTCTACTCTCTATATACATAAGCGCAAGTATTTTTATTTAGAGCACAAATTAGTGTAGCCGCTTATTCTGCCAAATATGTTATGCCACTGCACAAGCTAGTACAATGTGTAACTGCAATTTGTGTATTTTCTGTATGATCGCGCTAGGTACTAGTACTGTAGAATACTTTATTTTAGCTAGAATTAATTTTTGCTGAAAAGACACAATTTGTGATGAGTTGAACGTAAAATATGTGAAAAAAAAGGTATTTTCATTGGTTCTTCCCTTCAAAGAAAATGAATTTGCAATTGCGCTCTCTATAGTACTGTAGTTATTACTACTTTGTTTTTTGTTGAGATATCTAACTGGTACATATTCAACTTTTACGAGATGTACTTGAATCTTGTAGGCATGATTTCGATGGTGAAAAAAATACTGTATTGCGACGTGGATATGTAATATATTAATATTTCTCTCCATAATTATGAATTGCGTTATGGATTATTCACATATTATCACACTTTTTGCCGCGAGATGAAGACCACTGATAATTAGCCCTAGAAAAAACAAACAAGTGGCGTGTTTCTCGTCGAGATATAACTTATAAAGTGGTTACCCTGGTAACGGGCGGGTGTAGATTACCGTGCTCTCAAAGCGTCGCGCGTCACCGCGGTTGCCACCGATTAATTGCATCCGGGCACTTTGCATAATGGCGGTGATTTGAATGTATTTGTTCTGTCAGTTTTCATTATGCTTCGGTAAATAGACCGAAAAAAATTGCCATCTCCGCCCACTGGACATTGTAACCGCTGTAAAGAGACTCGTCAATGTGTATAGCACCTATCTTTTCTTATCAAAGTAACTAGGTGCTTTGGATCATACTATTTTATGGGAACTAAGTTCGAGCTGTTCGCAACAACTTGAATGTGGGACTAGATTGTAGCTGTGCGCCGTAAAAGTATCCCTTCACTAACAAGATTGTACATTCAACTAGCACATGTGTACTTGTATCGGCAACACAGTAAATGATGGTTTCGTCAGCAGAATGACTTGGAATCACCGCCTCACGCACGTAAGTGTATAATAACATGTGAAACGATTTTTGGCTATCGTTTGTCTGCCCGTTGATTCGCTGTTTTCATTTGAGTTCTAAGAGTACCCGTGATGTGAAACTTGGCAGGTGTGAGGCATCATAGCTACGACCCCGTGGTCGGTTGGACACTTCTCCGTTATATACACTATTGTGTGGAAACAGAGAAACTGTTCGCGTTATTTCACTCACTTTGGGCTTTTATTTATGCTGGCTTGTGATTAACTCGGCTACAGAATTTTATTTATTAATTTTCGGGATGTTCCTATTTGTTTTTATCGACGGTAACATTAATTACAAGCCATTCCTTTGTTTCCATGCTCTGCCACACGTGTTGTTTGTTGTCAACGTCGGTCTTTTTTGGAAAATCTTTATTTTTTGTGTAGATGTTACCATACTTACTCTTTATACACAGATTATATAGCTATGTATATTTTCACGTAATTTGTAAACTAAAAAACAAAAAAATATCTGACTGCACAAGTGTTTAAAGTGGCCATATGTTGTATATCGCCGTTATTTACAGTACCATTTTGTGCTGTACCATCGGCGACTACAAATGTAGTTTTATGTTCTAGCGAGCTTTTTTTAAAAACAAAACAAAACGGCGACTGATTCATCAACGTTCATGGAGCCCCATGGCTATATCTTCATCTGACCACCAGTGCTGATACATGTATATACGTCTCTTCAGTTCTCTTAACAGTATGTTATTCAACTCTCTCAACATGTGTTATGTATCCGACCATGGAGGTATGATCCGACATACCTGCTGAGAACGATGTTCGGGATCGTAGTACGATGATACAGCATATTTTTTTCATTATTCGTTCTGGCAGATTAAAATCAAAATTGATATATTCTTAATGAAAGGAAAATACTGTAAAATACTTTATTTACGCTTGGAATTAATTAAAAATCCAGCAAATATACCTTTTTCTTATATTTTACATTTAACTCGTCAAAAATCAGTAAAAATAAATCCCATACAAAACACCCAAAATGTCTTTTCAGCAAAAATTAATTCCAGTTGTAATAAAGTTTTAAAGGAAAGGGAAAATGAGATACTATTTTGTTGTTGTTAAAATAATACAAAATAATATGTTTGTTGGACATAATAAAAAAAAATAATAAAAATCATAACAAAATAAAAATACACCCTGTTACAATGAATATAGATTTTAGTCTGATTGGATACAGACTGATGTTGCTATGTACATTGTACCTATTGGTTGACATCTATAGTTGCAGCATCACGTAGTGACATTTTGTGATGATATCTGGTTTACAATTGTGAGGAGTCTACCTTTATGTCATTGATTGATGGTTCACACTCAGTGATTTGGTGTTGGTTTAGGGAAGGTGAATTGGGCAACAGACACTCAAGGTGTGGACTTTTTCAGACGGAGACACAATTACACTTGAGTGATTTGTTTTTTGATCACCACATCGTACGTGACAAATGTCAGAATTGCTGCTACGATTGGTTTACATTGTAAGGAAGCATACAGACGTGGTTAAACAGCCCTGAAACTGTATTATTTGTTCTGCACTGTACGAACTCCGTCTTCCACATCTGCATAATTTGCCACCCCCAATTACTTTTAAGAGTTGCCCACCAACCAAAGCTGAGCTGCCAACACTGCAGACAACTATGGAGGCTGTAACGTGAAAATTAAATCATACTTTGAGTAAAGAGAGTGCAAATAAAAGTTGGCTGAACCAAGTGTTAATTTGGTGATACCATGCTAGTGTAATAGTGGGTCTGAAGTAGGTGTGCTTTAACCACTTCTTGGTTCTCAAATGCGCTGAAAACATGTCTCCCATTATTCGTCCTCTTTGTAAACATGATTTATTCACTATCATTGTAGACACGGTTGGATTATATAAAGATGGTTCTGTTGTGAGCTGAAACATGGTTGGACGAATATGTAAGCTACTCAGTACTGTGTTTTTTTATTTTATATTTATTAATCTATCCAATACTAACCCTAAATGCCCTTTATGGTACAACCAAAATTTGATTTACCAACTATTTGCATGCTATTCTCAGAAATATATCACTATGTTACATATCACAATATGTTGAAGATAAATCAAGGCTTATCAGTATTTTTGGAAAATATTTTTGGTACCAGGAGACATTAAAGACACTGTTGTCTCTTTTATTTGTTGTCACACAGATTGTACTCTGATTTATACTGTTGAGTATAAAAAAAATGTATTTAAAAAATGGGTGCTTATAGAAATATATTTGACCATTCTGATGATTACTTTTCATTTTTTATGAAATGATGCCAGTAGTTTTCTATGGAAATTTTTCTAAAAACTTTATTTTAGGCATATTTTGTAAGTCAGGCACCTGCGAAATACCTTAAAGCTGAACACCTACATCATGATTGACAGTTGAATTGATATAATTTGTTTTCCTTATTGAAAAATAAAATGTTTTCAATGTTTATGATGATAAATTTAATTTTGACCATAATTTTAATGCTCAAGTTTGTCCTTGATCAAGTACTGTATGTAGAATATTTACTGTGTGTACTCAGAATTCATCTTGCTTTTGAAATTATAATTTTTAAAGGTGTGTTTGCTTCATATTTAAAAAAAAATATATAATTAATGACATGCAGACGATGAATTGAATCTATACACGTATTTGAAAAGCTTGTCAAAGAACACAAATAAAGGAAACAGTCTACAAGTAAGCTAAACAAACATGACATTATCTGTACCTTCCTTTCTTTATAGTAAATTCCATTTCCTTTTTAATGGCTGCAAAGTTGAAAGGTTTTGGTTTACATTGCATGGTTGGTCGGCTTTTGTGTTTTCTTATTTTATGCTGGTGACAATGAAGTGACATCCCTCTGTGAGGAAGCATTGATTAGGCAGTTTATAGCAGTTTTTAATGTACTGCTGTCCCACTATTCATAAAGTAAGGTGTAAAGCTATTGTTACTGTGTTTGTTAGTGAAGACATGGAAAGATTGACATACATGCAGGAACCTACCCACCAGGGATTGAAATAGTTTTTTCCCTGCATGCACAGAAGAATTTGCTTTTTTTTTAGTTATCTTACAATATTAGTTGAACTTAATTTAGGCTTATTGAATATAATGAGAAAATGTTAATTTCTACATGCACAGAGTGCACATTATATTTTGAGTTTACTTGCACTAGCTAATACCGTGAAATCTGTATTAGAAGCCGCACCCCTAATAGAAATCGTACCCATTCTTTTTGAATAATTAAGAATAACAAATTCATCATTTCTCATATGTGTAGATGCTCTAATAGAAGCCGCATCCCCTCTGTTGTATTGTACCATTTTAATTGAAGCTGCGGCTTCTAATACAGATTTTACAGTAATCTATGTGCATAGTGCAGTGTGCACCAGGGTATTTCGACCCCTGACCCACCCACCTACACATTGTATAATTTTTACAGACCTTCAAGTCTTTACTAAAATTTTGTAACAAGTTCCTTAGTAATAAGTAATTTACAAGCAAGAACAGCTCAGTATCTTCACCAGTTTAATCAAAAAGATAAAGATCTTGGTGATTTTTTTTATAAGGGTTGTTTCTATGGCACCCCTGTATAATAATTGAATTGCCTGAAAGTACCTACTGTGAAAAAAGATAATAACTTTAAACGCTTTTCTTTTAAACTGATGTAAATTAGGCCAGCATAAAGAGAAACAACTGTGAACAATAACATGATACTGATGAAATGAAAGTGTTATTACTGCGCCATTCATTTCATATTTCTTTGTGTAAAAATGTTTTAGAATACAATTTTGTGAGTGATGTACAGACCCCAGTAAATATGATGTAAAGCCATGTTTATGTATTATATGAATGCTTGCTTATTTCACTTCCTCTTCTGCAATTCTTTCATTGTTTTCATATAGTTTCATGAGTGTGTATGATGTTCCTGTATTCCTGGTGAGGTTGTTGACCTTTTCATTTCTATCCCACAATGTTGCTTGATTTATTATGCAAATAAGGCTAGATATGATGCAAACTTTATCATACTTTCAGTATGTCCTTTACTATAGGCATTTTTGACAAGTTGATTGTAAAATATAGGAAAACAGGTATATTCGCTAGATTTAATTTTCACTGAATTATTCCTTCAGCGAAAATAGCGAAAATTAATTCCAAGTGAGTATATAGTATTTTACAATAGTATGTTTCAACTACAAGGCCTATACTAGTATTTAGAAGGTGTGATTCACATATTCATGATAAAGTTCATAAAAAAAAAAAAGAATTAACGCTTATTTTTATGACTGACCATCTGAAGGAATGACGACACACTGATTAGTGCATTTGCTTTTGTTCACCACCAGGTGTCGCTATAAGGGTTTAACGATAATAAGCATAGATTAAAATTACTAACGCAAGAGGTTAAGTGTTTGTATGTGTGTTTGTGAGGGGAGAGGTAGCACAGTCACCTATACGCAACTTAGGTTATGTGTGATAACCTCATTACTGCAAATGTCACATGGACAAGATATTGTCAAACAGCTCTGAGTCCTGTTATTGTTTTTTGTTTGGACTGTGCTCTCTTGTGTCATATGACCTATAAACTAATAATTATTTGACTGCTGAAAAAAAAAAATATTTTAGAACATTTCTAGCTGTGCAAATGCTTATATTGAGTTATATTGCTCATATGTAGTTCACCAAATAACTGAAAATGTTGCACTATTTTTAGTCACTTAGTGTGTTTTAGTGGCATTGAAATATTAAATATTTTTGAGTTGTTTGTGAAAACACCATGAGGTCAACCTGTTAGAAGGTGTTGGCCATTGTGTGCTCACTTTCAATATGGTAGCATTTTCTCTCTGAAATACTACCACTATGCAGAAATTTATCTTACAGTTCCTCTCAATAAACCTCTAAAATAAAATAAACTGCTGAATTTGTTATTATCTAATGAAAAAATGTGATTTTCATCCATAAAGACATTCTGAGGAAAGATATTAATCACCAAGATTAATTGTTTTTATGTTTAATTGTAATTATTTTAATAATATTTCATAAAAGGCGAAAAAAACAAACAAACAGATTTTGCTTCTCATCCGAGGACAAATTAAAAATTTACATAGTTTTAATTTGTTTTTTTTTGGTCCTAAAATTATTTCAAACAAAGGAAAACCTTTTTTTATTCAAATTTGTTTTATATGACAATTTTCAAACTGGTTATCTAGATAAGGCTTGTATTTTTTAACCCTTGTATGCCAAAGTCAACTTTAGTCTTTAGTACAAAGAATACCAGCACTATTTACTCTCAATATTCTACAATGTATTTGAAAACACTATTGTATTTATTCAGGTGTTACACAAAAGACACTAATTAGGGCTAATGTTCAAACCAAAATATTATTCTTTCAATAAATTACATAGATATAATTAAATTTGCATACATTTTTATGGCCTGTATTGTTTGTGCCAGAAACAATATTTTTATGAGTTTATTTTTCAATATTAGTAATTCTAAATTAAGCACTATTTTATTATAGTCATTGTGTTAGCATATATTGCCGTATTGATTTCCACTCAAACTGGTTAACTGTCAGCCTTATTGTTTGCTTTTTGCTTTCAAGATTAAGGTAGTGACAGGGGAAATTACGATCATATATTTTTTGTGTTGCTTGGGTGATTAAGTTCTCATGAATCACTAACAAAAATAGTTTTTTTCATAGGATTGGCCATTTCATGCTGTTCATCCATTGATTTTGATTTTTTTGTAATCAGCTGTAAATTTCACATCAGTGTGTCAGGGATCGTATATTTTCTGATTTAATAACAATTATAAACATATACCATGGATGATAATTTCACACCTCACCAGAGTTAATTAAAAAAAAATTTCAAATAGATATACAATTCTGACTATATAATAGCCTTACTACAAAAGGCAATAAAAAATAAGCATACAGGTAACACCTCTTATGAGAAATCCAGTAAACCTGGGTATTTCATTGTTATAAATTGAAAACCATTCATTTTTAGGCAATTGCAACTATGAATATCATAGTACTAATTGTACGCCATATTTATAGTGATTTCTTGAACATTCATCAAAATTTCCTTGAAAACCTAGTTTGATTCAAGGGCATAGAAACCAAAGAGGATTGTGAATAAACTCTTGTTATGTATGTAACAGTGATGGTGAATAAATTTCCTTTTGTTATCTGTGTAAGCAGACTTTCTGTATTGTATAATTTACAGACATTCTACCCACAGTGTTCACATGTGTTGAGAAACTGAAAGCCAGATTTCTTTTCAAATATTCCTTATTCGTAGTTTATATTCATGTCTCATCTACATTTGGATTATGATAACAGGCATTGCTTTAACCTAGAGGTATCATCTCTAGGTCAAACATGCAACTCAGGGTGAGACCAGTCCTCTGACTCTGACCTAAACTAACCTGACCTCATACCAGTTTAACATTTTCACCACCAGTTCCTTCTTTTCATCAGAAGATTGGGACACAAATAGCTAATTTTTTGAGTAAAAATTGAAATTGACTAAAATTTTATCTGTTAGCTCTAGAATTAGGGTTCATTTTTGGAAATATTGACCTATATAGGAAGGAAAAGTGCAGAGAAGTCTAGTGGTAAAAAAATTCACACTTGTTTTCCAGCAGTGGGTTCAAATTAATTGTGGGTTGAATCCCACATTTTGCTACACATTTGAAAATCATAATGTTCAGTTTGCACAGTGTGTAGGTTTAATGAGATATACATATAATATAGCATTTAAAAATGATATGAATATTTGATGAATTTCTATTTAATATTTGCACGAGTTGTACTGTAGTATCATTGGGGCTTAGTCAACACATCTGATATTTTTCAGAACACACAAAAATGTACTAGTAGTTGGAAAAGAAATACTAGCTTAGTATAAGGTCAA